TCACATGATTATTGCGACTGTTTCAGTGTACGGTAGTAAACAGAAGAACTTCAGTATGAGTTGAGATATCACTTTGACCTCTATTAGCATTACACTCAGCCACATTCTAAAGATAACATTTGTTACGCATATGTTTACGATACAATTAGTTGACCTGTCGTATAATGTGTCCACAAGTTCCACAACACTTTATAACAGTTTCATGACAATGTGCTAAAGTGAAAAGCTTCCGCGTGAGTAGAGATATCACTTTAAGAACTATAAGGTCTTTCTCGGTAAAAAAAAAGTTGACAAATTAATGTAAAGTAGGCACGTTCATATACATCCAGAAAGTAATGTTTGAGTAAGTAAAAAGACTAGATCTAAAGAGCTACGCGACATCTTACAGGCAAATATGTTTTGTTTTGGGGTAGTTACTTTTTTGGGGGGTCATATTGCGTACAATTAACATATTTTACTCTAAAATAGTGGGGGGGAGGGGGGTTAATATAGCGATGATTAGAACTCTTAGAAATAACAACAATCGTATAGGGCGTGTGAACTAAAACAACTCACATGTCTTCAAAGGTCGTGGCGATGAGAATAATTCTAATGTGATGCTCTTATTGTCTTTTAATTGTTGTTTCAAAAGTAATTATTATGTTCACTTGTGCGTTTCTCAACCCTTGGCTGTTCTTGGTGAGGAGGATATGGAGGTGTAGATGCACTGGACCAAGGTCAAAGAAGTCTTTACTGCAACATGTCAAGAAATAGTCGATGAGAAGAAATTGGAGCACAAGGAACGGATTAGCCAGCGGTCAGTGGATTTGGTTAGGATTAGAAGACAATTAAAAGCAGAAACAAATGCAAGTAGAACAGGGGGATCAAAAGCGAATGCAATGGAGCAGTACAGGACAACAGCTAAAGATGTAAAGAGATCATTAAGAAAAGACAAGGAGGAGTTCATGAACAGGTTGGCAGAGTGGGCAGAAGAGGCAGCAGCAGGAGGGAACATGCGAACCCTTTACCCGACTACAAAGACTTTTTCTGGGAAAATATGGGAAACCAGAAGTAGTAGTAAAGGATCAAGAGAGAAAAACAATTTTTGTAAAGGAATCGCAGTCAAGACGATGAGTAGAGCATTTCAAAAGTCTCCTGAACAAACCACCACCAAGTAATACGCCAAACATCCTGCCACCAAGAAACGGCTTACCAAGCTGATGTGATGCTCCACCAAAAGGAGAGATTATGGATGCCATTAAGAAGCTGAACAAAGGTAAAGCGGCTTGTCCTGATCAAACTCCACTTGAGGCCCGAAAAACAGATGTCAAAATGACGGCAGACCTCCTTCTCTCACTGTGTACCGGGATCTGGAATGAAAGCAAGTTCCCATAGGATTGAAAAGAAGGACACCTTGTGAAACGTCCTAAAAAGGGGGATTTCAACAGCTGCAGCAGCTACTGAGGTATCACTCTTCTCTCAATACCAGGAAAGGTCTTCGACGGAATCTTTCTGGACAGAATCAAGTCTGCCACGGATCCAAGACTCCGTGATGAACAAGCTGGTTTTCGGAAAAACCGGTCAACCACGGACCAGATTGCTACGCTGAGGATCATAGTGGATCTGAAGTAGAACTCAACTTTCCTCACTATGAGGTGGCCTTTGACAGCATAGAGCGGGTAACACAGTGGAAGGTACTGAGACACCACGGAATCCCACAGAGGTTGGTTAACCTCATCAAGAACAAGGACGAAGGGACAGGTTGCAGGACTATACACGATGGCCAGCTCACTGACAGCTTTGACATCAATACCGTTGTGAGATAGGGATGTTTACTATCCCCTTTCCTCTTTATCTTGGCAATCGACTGGCTGATGGAGGAAACCACCTGAGGACACAGAAACGGTATAGAGTGGACGCCATGGACACATTTGGGCGATCTGGACTTTGCAGATGACTTGGCGCTTCTGTCACACACCCAGAAACAGGTGTAAGCAAAGACTATAATTTTAAACAGCCTTTCAGAGTCTGTACGTGGGATTGAAGATCCTTACCGGAAAGTCAAAAGTCATAAGTATATATGCACTAAGAAAGGAGCACTTCACAATAGAGGGAAATACACTAGAAGACGTCGAATCTTTCTGCTATCTTGGGAGTATAATTGAAAGAGAGGGAGGAATAGGTGCTGAAATAAAGTCCAGCATTGAAAAGACACAGACTGCATTTATTTCTTTGAATAGTATTTGGAGGACCAGGGATATCTCCCTACGAACAAAGCTGAGGATTCTCAACTCAATGTGAAATCAGTCTTGATGTATGGATGAGAGACATAGAACACATCTCAGACTTACATAAAGAGGATCCAGATTTTCTCAAACAAGTGTTTAAGGAAATTACTGAAGACGAGATGGACAGACAGGATCACCAACAAGGAAGTATTAAGAAGAACGAGACAGAGCCCAGTGAGAGATTAGGTGGGGAAAAAGCTTTGGCAATGGATTGGACACACTTCCAGGAAGTCAAGCAGCTGCATAACAAAAAGAATGTTAGATTGGAACCCACAAGACAAAAGATCAAGGGGAAGACCACGTGGAACCTGGAGAAGAGTCACAGAAATGGATGTACAGAAAAGTGTGAAGACCCGGAGTGACGTCAAGCGACTAGTCTAGGAAAGGATAAGGTGGAAAGTGCTTGTTCATGCCCCATATCCTTTTGCAGGGTGAAAAAGGCAATGGTGATGATGATGATGATAACGTTTTCCTCCCCGTCTAACAATTGTATAAACATGGTGGATGATGTTACTACTACTACTACTACTACTACTACTACTACTACTACTACTACTACTACTACTACTACTACTACTACTACTACTACTACTACTACTACTACAATAATAATAATAATAAAAATAGTAATAATAATAATAATAATAATAATAATAATAATAATAACAGTAATGATGATAATAGTAATAATAATAACAGTAATGATAATAATAATTATTATTATAACAACTATAATAATAATAATAATAATAATAATAATAATAATAATAATAATAATAATAATAATAATAATAATAATAATAGTATTTATGATGATGTGATGATCATCATCATCATCATCATCGTCATCATCATCATGATCATAATAAAACAATAAAGATATAGATTAAAGAGAATAATAAAACTAATAATAATTGTGAGGTTAATAATAATAATGATCATTATATTTATATTATAATTACAACAATAATAATAATAATAATAACAATGATGATGATGATGATAATAATAACAATAGTGATAATAGTAACAGTGATAATGATAATAATAATAGTAGCAATAATAGTAATAATAATAATAATAATGAGAAAAAGAATAATAAGAATAATCATAATCATCATAATCATCATCATCATCATCATCATCATCATCATCATCATCATCATCATCATCATCATCATCATCATCATCATCATCATCATCATCATCATAATAATAATAATAATAATAATAATAATAATAATAATAATAATAATAATAATAATAATAATAATAATAATAATAATGATAATAATAATAGACCTGGAAACGTAAATGGACTGCGAATGATAGAAGTCGGTCTAGCTAGGCACATGGTCATGGAATGTCAGTGGACTTGGATATACTGACGAATCTCATGGAGGGAAAGAAACTTTTAGTCATGGGCTTGTCAGACATTTATAAGGAAGAAAGGAAACAAAGGACAAAATGATTATTGATTCCTAAAGGGGCTACCTTCTGACCTGGATGAGAGGGACACTTGAAAAAGAGAGAGGGCGAAACCCTGTGTAGCTTTCATCATGAACTCTTACAGCCAGGGTTGACCAAATCGATCAAAACAATTAATTTCCACCGAGACGAATGGGTATAAAAATCACTGAAAATTCTAAAACTGCAAGAAAAAAATATATAATTTCCAACATCGATACTTGCAATTACAGCTATGCAGTGGAAGGTAGACAACATTATTTTCTAGACCTTAGTATACTCGAACTACAAAGAACAATGTGAAAAGGGTCAACGTTCTGGACAAAGACATTTCGGATAATTTCCTTCTCAATATTCTCATTACAAGACTAAAGAAAGAAGTAAAAACTAGAAACAGATCATTCTCGGAACCTGAAAGATAAATTTACACAAGTTTCTATGTGATATTCGTGACGCTCTAACTACGAGTTCCTCTATTGACATAGAAATCCTTAACACCATCATGTGGAATATTTTTACATGATCATGCTCCTGTATAAAAAAAAGAAAGAAAATTATCCCAAATCGTCAAGTTGTAAAGTGGTTTAACCAAGAAATAAAGGCTACAAAATAAAAAAGACAAGCGGACAGAAAATGGAGAAAAGCACGACTTGGAGGGAATATAAATTTTATATCTTTGAAGAATTCTGCCACTAAAAATGATCACAAAGGCCAGGCGAACTTTCTTTTTGTCGCAATTTGAAAATGTTTTAAGTTGGAAAGGACTTTTTACTGTCTCTAGTGGGTTACTTGGCAATCAAAACAGAACAGTGTTACCCCCCGCTACCAACGAAAAACTGTGTAGTAGCTTTTCGATTATTTTTTTTTAAACAAAATCACTTTCATCAGACAAGGACTCGATAAAACGGGCACAATTGCCCCAAATTACCATCCGTTTGAGGGGCTAGTCATCGGTTACTTCACTCCAGCAACGGAAAAAGAAATACAAAAGATTACATTAGGTAGTCCATCAAAAACGTGTGCCTTAGACACCATGCCTACCTGATATATTGAAAGGGATTTATGAAAGAAAGGTGTGTCTTCTTACTCTTTTGAACTCTCGGCTTCGTTCGATATTTCACTTTAGAGACTAAATACTACTGTTGGTGTAAAGGGTACTGTCGTGCGGAGGGAGATCACCCTAGAATGTAACACTTTCGATTCGAAGCGCCCTCCAGCCACCGTTTATGCTTTATACTTATACTCGTCCTGGACGTGCGACCCTATATGTCGAACCCTCTGCGCTGTTTCAAGTGTCAGAACTTTGGCCATAGCCAGTCGAGATGTCGACACGCAGTCGTGTGTCGTCGTTGTGGCAAGACCGGGCATCCTGAAAAGGAGTGTAAGGCTAGTCCCTGCTCTCCCATATTGCCACGGGCCAGCACACAGCCTTCAGTAAGGAGTGCGTCATCAAAGAGTAGAAAGCGCAAAATGGTTGCTTCTTTCAGGAGGCGAGAAAGACTGTCTGCCCGCCAGCTACGACTTCGGCCCCAGGCTGGTCTTTTTCGAAGGCTGTCCGGCTGGGTCACGTTGTCGACCAGTACTTCAAGTGCCGACCTCGCAGAGCCCATGGTCAACCGGCAAAGAGCTTCTCCCAAAAGTGAGAAGCCTCCCCCCCGTCCAGGTGCCACTCTCAAAACCGCTTCATGGTCCTAGTGGAGGATAGGATGAACTCTTCCTTCACCCTCTCCTCTTCCCATCCCCCTCCTCTATCCTTTATTCTTCCTCCTCACGCTCCACGCCTCTCTTGTCTTGGAGTACGAGGTTCCTCCCTCCCTCCCTCCACTTCCTAGCTCCCCTTTCTCTTCTCAGCACCTCCCCCTCTTCCCAGCCCTCCCCCTCCCTATTCCCAGCCCCTTTCGTCTGCTCCACCCCACCCCTCCAACTTTTCCAAAAGATTCTCCCCCCCCCCCCTCCCTATGGAGGGTGACACTCCGATCCACCTCCCAGGTATATCCCCGGGAAGGACGGAGCCCGTCAAAACCATATTTATGTTGTTATGTTGCTTCTGTTTTATTTTCACTGTCGTTAGTGATTGTCCAGCATTCAAAGCCATATAGAAGGGTTGACGATACATAGCATTTCAGAACTTTCATTTTGATAGTCTTTGAGGTGTTTCTATTTTTCAGGATTGGGCTCATTTTATTGAAACTAGCCGTAGCCATTGCAATTCTCCGTTATATGTATGTGGAACATTTGGCTTCAGATGTTATTATACACCCTAGATATACTGTTGAACTTGTTTGATCTTTTCGCCTTTGCTAATGAGATTACAAATAGGATTTGCTGGGGGGGGGGGGGGGGCGGGGTTATATCACCATGCATTCTATTTTCTGAACATTCAACAACGGTCCTTAACGTTCACTTTCTGTTACAGCATTATCTACCAGGGGGTTCAAGAAGTCTTGAAAAAACGATAGAGCTTTGTAACTTGGCACACATACTTTTATTTCTCTACATAGTCACCCTGCAGAGTAACACAATTGTGTCCCCTCTCTTTGACATTCAAAAGTCCTTGAGAGAAAAATGACCCTAAATGGGCCCCTAGCCAGTCTTAAACAGCTTTAATGGCGTCATTGTTGTCATGGAAACGATGTCCTTTTGGTGATTTTTTAAATAAGGAAACAAGAAAGTCTGAAGGGGCTAGGCCTGGTCACGAACCTGGGTGTGGTAGGAATTCAAAGCCGCATTATTCTGCCGTCTGGACTGCGTGTTGTGCCCTTTGCGCAGGGGCTTTGTCATGCTGCAGGAGGACCCCATTACAGAGTTTTCCAAGCCTTTTCCTCACCAATTCGGACCGCAATTTTATCTGCAAACCCAAGTGATAGTCTCCTGTGACTGTTTTTCCATTTTCCAGGTAGTCAATCATGATACCTTCACAATCCCAGAAACATGACAGCACTTGACGGTGTTACCTTTGCCTTCTTTGGTCTTTGGTGAGGGAGACGAAGGGGTTTTCCATTGCATGGAGGATATTTTTTGTTCTGGATCAAAATGATAAATCCATGTTACATCCATAGTCACCATGTTTTTAAAGAAATGTGTGTCATTGGACTCAATTCAAAGGAGAGTTTTGCAGGACTCAACGCTCTGCTTTTCTTGCTCATTTGTCAAAAGACGGAGTACTCACCCCGCAGACATCTTATTCATGTTAAGATGGCATTGGAGAATTGTTTCAATTGACCCTACACTGACTCTCGTTTCACTTGAGAGCTGTTTAACAGTTATACGTCGGTTTTGTAGAATCGGTTTCTTCACTATGGACACATTCTCTTCAGGTACCACAAAGTATGGGCGCCCTTACGATCTCCATTCATCACTGACATGAATAGAGATTTAAATTTCCTTACCCAGTATGTCACAGTATTATAGCGAGGACATTTGTTACCATAAACCATTTCCTGAAAAAAAGTCCTACAGGGATTTTTTTTTTCCTGGCAAGTGTAAAAACTTGATAACTTAGCGATATTCAACGGGCTCCATGGCACAGCTTCAGCAAAGAGAAACAAACGTTTTCGTGCATGGTTTCATTGAACACGCTGACTATAGTGCAGTAAAAAAATTCGTGGCGCAACTTATTGTCAAATATCTCCTCAACTATCGAACATGAGCTCTCCAGCTTTTGCACAATGACTTGTATCAATTGATCTTAACATATCAATATTTTTATAAAGACCTATTAGCACTATTCTAAAAAATTCCTCAATAAATGTTAAATAGGCCTACTAATTTCAAAAATAATCGCGAGATTATCTTTATTGAACGCATCCAAAGATAGTGAATAACAAGATGGGCCACTCAGCCCAAAAAGTGTCCGCAGGATGTATGCTCTTTGCTTCAGATGGCGCTGCAGTCTGTTTTGAAGCTCTCTTTCGTTTTTCCAGAAGAAGAATAGGAATAGCACCTCCTTGCGTGCGCAGATCGACTGCTGTTCATCAGCAGTTCGGGTACGTTCAGTGCGGAGTTTTAGGTTTTTTTTATTTTAATGACCTCTCTCCTTTCATTCTAAAGTCAAATTAAACGAAGAAAACCATCACCCTTTCCTCTGGTAGAGGTTTTTTGTCAGCGTAACCATTTTAAAAAAGCGTTCTTCCGAAATGTATCCCAAAACTTGCTAGTTTCACTTTGATTTTTTAAAACTCAAGTAGGGTAACTCTGTTCGCAAAGAGTGCGCTTTTGTGAAGAGGGCGCCACCAAATTTTGAGGACACTTTTTTAATTGGCTCAAAGAGAGAAGTGGCCCATCTTGTTATGTACTATCATTGACGCATCTTTAGAGAACCCCTAGTGCAAAAACGTGTTTACTCTAAAATGTATTTCTTGTAACTAGTTTTTCCACTAAAAAGTATCATTGGTGAGCTGTGACGTAACCCATATATGCGTATCTAAAATGTGTGTGAGAATCGGAAAGTGCTGTGAACAATTCCAGTTTCCGCGTGATGAAGATTTGTAGTATTTTATATAAGTTAATGAAGAAGAGGGGTTTTTTTTAATCTAGCCTCAACTGTTGTGAAAAAAATAAGATTAAGTTAAGACAAATTTATACTAACTGCTGTGCAAAGTATGGGTGACATTGATTCACCCGTTAAAAAGATAGTTGAGGATAAGTTGCGCCACGAACTTTTAACCCCTCTATAGTGCCTTTTTATCGTAGGAATTTCCCGAATATTTGCACGGCGTGTTCAAAAAGAAATTGTCTAAAGGCTAGGGAAATTTCATTACTCTACCCTGATTCCTTCATACCCAGACCAAAGACTTATTGAACCCCCGTCGTAGAAGCGATTGAAGGTCCTTTTCTGAGTCTGTTATTAAATCTGTGTCATCACCATATCTGATGTTATTAACATTTTTACCATTCACTTTTAGACCTGGACATTCTTCTATGGTTCTAAAGATTGTTTCACTGTATATGTTAAAGAGGTCTGGTGACATAACACATCCTTGCCTCACTCTTGCTCTGATTTGCTTTTATTTACTGTATTCTCCATTAATTCGTACAGCAGCGTTTGGGTCCCAGTACAAATTCTTGATAGTTCTTAGATCTTTTCCATCTATGTCTAGCTGTTCCAGCATCTTAAATAGCTCATGATGTCTAACTTTATCGAACCCCTTTGAATAATCTATGTAGCATAAATACAGATCTTTCTGAGCTTCAGTTCATCGTTCAATTAGCATTGTTAAGGTGAATATAATAGCATTTGTTGTGCCCTTGTCAGGGACAAAGCCGAATTGTTTTTCAGATGTCTCTGGTCTTTCACTTTTTCTCAACCTTCCCATTTGTACTCGCAGCAGTATTTTTTTTATTTTTTTTGGGGGGGGGTGACTCATAAGGCTAATTGCTCTCTATGTATATCTCACTCGGTGGCACCGGGTGTTTTAGGTAAAGCTATAAAGACTGACTTCATCTTATATTCTTGGATCTCACCGCTGTCATAAATAAAATATAAGAGCTTTGTTGTTATTTCTGTGCCTTATTGTGATAATAATGGGAATAAAAGGGGGGGGGGGCGGCGCCTTGGGGTGGGCAGTGAATCATATCGATACATGACAGACAAACAGTTGTTGACTGATTGCAAACCTGTTCGACATGCAATGACTCGCTACCCAGGTGACATGGAATAGAAAGTAAGAGCAAAGGGTTGGAGGGGATGTGGGTTGGGGGGAAAAAAGGGGGGGGGGGAAGTGAGTCTCCTAGTAAGAAAATTGGTTGTCTATCTTTTTTTTTTGGGGGGGGGGGGCAGAGGTCGGAATATGCATAGGGAACATGAAGAGAGAGAGAGAGAGACAGAGAGAGAGAGAGACAGAGAGAGCGAGACAGAGAGAGACAGAGACAGAGACAGATACAGAGACAGAGACAGAGACAGACAGAGAGAGAGAGAGAGAGAGAGAGAGAGAGAGAGAGGGGGGGGTGGCAGGACAGGATGTGTATAGGTATTCGTGATGGGTGTTTGGATGAAGTGCGAAGGCCCCCGGGTATGTGAGAGCAAAGAGACATACTCATATACTTGTACACAATAGCGATCAGTTAGTAATGGAGGGACAGACAAATAGACAGACTGACTGACTGACTGACAGAGCAAAAGGAAACAAACAAACAGACAAGCAAAGCATCACCAGTGACATCCTCCGGCCTCCAACTACCCGCAAGGTCAGTGGGGGAACAACTTCGCGAGAGGAACTTCGTTCTCAGCAAGACCCACAGCATGCTTCTGCTCTGTGGTACTTTCAACAGTGATCGACAAACGATAAATGCCGTTTGATCTTGCCGTTGGGTAAGACGCAGCATCAATGCTTTACTGCTACAGTAGTCTCCGCCAAAGATCCCACCGCTTACGATCCCGGTTCGCTTAAGATCCCGCTGTTTTAAGAAGACAGAATTTTTACTATACAAAAGTCACCCGCTCTGATTCACTCTTAAAAAGGCCTACATTCAGCTAAGATCCCGCGTTTCAGATTATAATTTGCGGAACAAAAACTCGGGCGGGCACAGCCGATCAACCAAGGGGGAAAAGTTGAGATCAATAAACTGTCCGTCGCGTCAAAGATCAGCCACTATCGTGAATGTGATCACATACACGTTGTAAAATTCGATGAAGCGATGCAGTGTTTGCCCCAGACAGGATCACACCGAGGTGTGAACTGACCGACACGTTTGTT